ATATTTTGTACACTCTGAGGCGTGATTATTATATCCACGACAAATATAGATTGATTTGATTTGATTTGATTTGATTTTTCATTTACCCTAACCCATCCTAGTTAGGATATGCAGGCTACATACGAGTCATGTGATCTATTTACATTTGTCGCACTGTGGCACTAGCGATGCTAGGCAGTGCTGAGAAAAGAAGACCACAACAGCGAGAACGTGAACTCTTGGTATCTAGTAGTGCTAACTGAGCATACACACTCCTCTACCTAGTAGTTAGACGAATTGACAGGCCTGACGCGGCACCCAATGCGTGAAAAACAGGTATGTCGATTCCCTGGCCCAGGGGGGAGTCCTGGTCAAACAGACTGCCAGAGCACGCTACCTAACTAGCGAAGCACCATCAAGCGGCAGCGCAATTCGTACACAGCACGTCCAGCCGCACTGTTGAACTGGACTCGGTAAAATTGATAATCTTCACAGCCCTCAACTTCATGATGAAAGTATAACAGGCCCCGGATCTCGTCCATGTCCACGATGCAGTCTGTGCTATCCAAACACAGCTCTAAATAGGGATAGAAGACTCAGCAAGAGAACTAGTGGTGATAAAAGAGGAAATACGCGGCCTTACTACAGAAGCCCAAAAGACAGCAATCATCAGCGAAGAGGCAAAAGCAGCGGCCCTCGAGGCAGCGGTGATTAGCAGGACCACGGCGGACATCGCGAAGGACATTAAGAACAAGGGAATACGACCCCAGGAAGGGACACCTATGAACTACGCTGCGGCGGCAGCCAGAGGCGCTCATAGCGTACAGACGCATGAGCAAAGGATGCCTCCCACCGCGCCGAACCAGCAGGAGATCATAGTGAACATCAGGGACAGCCATATGATCGAACAACTACGAGCAATAAACCCACGGACTCTTAAAACGTATGTCAACTATGCGATTACCCAAAGCGAGAATGAATACATCACAGGTATCACTATAATGTCAGCTAACCAATTGAAGAGCGGAGACCTCAGTATCCAAACAACAACAGGCAAGGAGACCCAACTCCTGCGGCAATTCACAGACGACTGGGTAGCACGAGTTGGCAGCGGGTCCTCAGTCAGGAACCCGACCTACAGCGTCTTAGTACACGGCATACGGGTTAGTACAGTCAACATGGACAAGCAGGAGGACATAAGAAATGCCATCCTACAAGATAATAAACCGTTTATCCCAAACGCAGAGATCAAATATATTAGATGGCTTACCCAGCGGGCACCAAGCAAAGCGATGCCGTCAATTATTATAGAGTTTATAAGGCAAGAGGATACTAATAAGATTATCAATGAAGGCCTAGTATGGCAAGGAGAGATGTGCCAGAGCGAGCGCTATGAACGGCAGTGCCGCCTGAAGCAGTGTTTCAAGTGTCAGGCATATGGCCACATAGGAACCCAATGCAAAGCAGTAAAGACATGTGGCTACTGCGCGCTAGAACATGACTCAAGGGACTGCCCATCAAAAGGAGACCGGAACGCCTCCAGGAAATATGCAGCATGCCGCGGTACACACGAGGCGTGGAACCGCCTGTGCCCAACCAGGAAAAACGAGCTGGCCAAGGTAAGGGTGGCCTACGCCAATAGGCCGCGATACCATGCGGTTGCGCCAACGACGGGAAGTGACTCACCAGCTGCTGCCGCGGGCCCCACACTGCGGAGGACAAGGTCAACATGGGACACGAAAACGACCCAAGCCTCCGCGAGAGGCCAGAAGAGGGCAGCGCCGGAGGGGAAAGAAAACGAGGAGTCGAATCAGCGACCTCAGAGGCCACTAAAGCCTAGCAGGAAAGCGCTGGAAATGATAGACTCAAACATCATAATACACCGCAGCACCCAAAACATAGACCTCAATAGCGACAGTGACCAATAATAAAACAAAACCAACTGAAGATACTGCAGTACAATGTCCGTAAATCAAAGAACCAGGTCATGGCAACGCTACTCCGAGACCCAAGCATAGCGACCTATGATATAATAGCTATCCAAGAACCCTGGCGCAATCCATTCAAGGACACGACACACCACCCAGCAAAGAACACCTTCCACCTGTGCTATCCAACGGACAGCACTAAGGAATACCCGGCGCGGGTATGCTTCTTCATCAACAAGCGCCTAGACCATGCCCACTGGCAAATCGAACAATGCACGCGAGACCTATGCACACTGCAGATCCTCATAGGTGAAGAGGCGGCAGAAAACGAACTGATATTGCATAATATATACAACCCAGGCCAAGGCGAAGACCAGGCAGCCACCCTCCCAGTATTACGAGCCCAGCTAGAGAAACACGCTACAAAAGAGCAGATAGCGCTCAGTGACTTCAACCTACACCACCAAATATAGGGAGGCCCAGGAGTTATAAGAGAAGAGCCAGAGTCAGAGGAACTCATCGAGATTATGGACGACCTCAATATGATAAATGTGCTGAAACCAGGCACAATCACATTTAACAACGGCCTTGGCCAGACGACCATAGACCTCTGTTAGATGACGCTAGGTCTGGTCGACCAGATAGTCCACTATAGGATAGATAAGGATATTAACCACAACTCTGACCACCTACCGATCAGCACCACACTAGATATAAGGATCTGGACAATAGAACCCAAACCCAAACACCAGTAGAAACACCTGGATGAGGAAAAGTTCTGCAAGGCTCTAAAGGGGGTCCTCACACCCAAGCGCAGGCCAGACACAAAGAAAGCGCTAGACAAGTATATCCAGCACATTGTCACCGCAATCCACACAGCGACAGAAAGGGTCCTACCTCTGAGGAGACCTAGCCCTAAGATGAAGGAGGGGTGGGACAACACATGCTGAGAAACACTTGCAGAAATGAAGCGCCTCCACAGAAGGTACTCCCAGCGGCCGACGGCCGAAGCGTGGAAGGACTATCAAGAAGTTAGGAAACTCAAGGGCAAGACCATCGCAAGAGCACTCCAAAAAGCACACAGAGACCGGGTGACAAAAGTGGCGAGCTCAGCCGAGTCACTATGGAAGGTCGCAAAATGGGCACGCAACAGGGGTAACCAAGCCCTAAGCATCACACCCACAATACAGAGGCCTGATGCCCCAGGGGACACCCCAGCAACAGAACCATAAGGAAAGGCGGACATATTCAAAGAGACCTTCTTCCCGCCCCTACCAGAGGCGGATCTGAGCGATATAGAAGGGGCATCCTATTCAGGGCAGGTACAGATGCTAAAGGTTACCAGAAAGGAAGTATTGGAGGCAATCCATGCAGTAGCCCCGCTAAAGGCCCCAGGGCCAGATGGGATATCTAACAGGGCACTACAGGCAGCCGCAGGAATGCTGGTACCGTTCCTCACGACCACCATCAACCAAAGCCTAAAATTAGGCTACTGTCTGGTCCACTTCCATGAGTCGACCACAGTGGTTTTGCGAAAGCCTGGAAAGGACAACTATACAACCCCTAAAGCGTACTGCCTGATCGCACTATTAAACACGATTAGGAAGGTCATGGACGCAGTCATCGCCTGGCGACTTAGCTTTCTGGTAGAGGAATACCAGGTGCTCCCCAGCCGACACGTTGGGGGCCGAAAACTGTGGTCTACAGAACATGTGATACATGCTATAATCGAACATATTTATGAAGCATGGAACAAAGGCGAAGTGAGAGTAGCTAGCCTTCTCCTTCTGGACGTGATGGGGGCATTTGACAATGTCTCTGCCAAGTGTCTCCTATATAACCTCCGGAAGCGAAAGGTAGATGAAATGATAGTACGCTGGGTTGCGAGCTTCTTAAGCGGCAGGCGCACCAGAATCATGCTCAACAGATATGAATCTGAGGAGTACCAGATCGAAATAGGTATCCCATAGGGCTCACCCCTTTCACCTATCTTATATATCTTCTATAATACAGATCTTATAGAGGAGTGCGGGATAGAGGATGTGACAACAGTAGGGTACATTAACGACGCTGCCGCTCTGGAGCATACATTACTAAGCAGATTATACAGCAGCTCAAGCAACTACATAAAGATAGCCATACTGTTACCATCCACTGGATCCCGGCTCACAAAGGGATAGACGGTAATGAAGAGGCAGACGTGGCCGCAAAGACCGCCGCAGGGTAGGCAGAAAAAGGCATGGAGACCTGTAGGGCTCCAACGCCTCCCCGCCTACACCCGCTGAGAACCACGCTGAGGACGTGGGTTAATAAGACCGCCCGCACCCATTGGAATAGGAGCTGGCAACAGGAGACGAAAGGCAGAGCTACATACCGCCACACACCGCTACCAGATAAGAAGGTACTGCAGCTACACAAAGACCTAACTAAGGCTAAGAGCGCCTCCCTCATACAAATGAGAACTGAGAAAATAGGTCTCCGAGACTTCCTCTTCTTCCGACGCGTACCAGGATTCGAGGACCCAGGATGCCCCTGTAGAGGAGGCCGCCAAACAGTCAGCCACGCGCTCCTGCGATGCCGACTGCTCCAGGACGAACAACAGATCAAATTTGGGAATCTACCAGGCAGAGAGGACCTATAGAAGATCCTCTCAACACGCAAGCTAGCCACGAAAGCAATCGCACTTATAGAACAGGCAAGGGCCCTAGGGCAGAGGGCGCCGAGCGAGTAGATGAGCAGAGTATTGGGTGGAGACTGAAGGTATCACAGATGGCGAAATACGGGGCATGCCCCTCTGAGCCTATACACAGTGGAATCGTTAGTAGTAGAGCCAGTATTAATAAATGGTGACAGCCATTTGAAGGTCAAGGCAGATAGTAAGAGGGTGGGCGAAAGAGGAGACTGGCCACGTTTGTCGACTCTTTGAGACTACAAGCGTGGTGAAGAGGGACGTGACGGGTTACATGCCAAGGTTCTCGTTGGTCATGGCCTGTCACGTGTCGGTCACCTGGCGAAGCCCGCCTAACCGGGCATAGCTGCAGATAATTAGCGGCCAAAACCGAGTAGGAAACAATCAATCAATCAATCAATCAATCGGCCAGCAAAGTCGAACTTCTGACCTGTACGAGGTGCTGGCTACGAACCTACAGTTGCAATAATACTGTAGAGCCGATAGAAGACAAGCGCACTCGATGGAGCTGTGATGGTTCAGCAGCGGAGGTGGATGGCCGTCCACCTGATACCTTTGAGGCTGAGTGGCCACCACAGAACAGAGGACTACCATCAAAAAGGGTATGAAAACCATCCGACTTACTACTACTTCCTTAGGAAAGAAGACGGAGCAGATGATGCTCGTGGAACCAATGCCTAGTAGTAAGATAGGACACCTCTGGGGTAGCGATGCAGAGTTTTCACACCCCCCATTAACGGTCGAAGCTCTTGTTAAGGGTTTAGAAACGAACATAGGCTGTTGCCTCCTACTTCCGACGCCTAGCTCTCGAGGCTCGAAGCTCTTGTTAATTGACCGACCGATTCCTTCGTACCGATCGACGAGCGATACTCGTTACACCGCGGTGTATGTCAGACGAGGGGGCTGGAGTAACATGCTCTAAGGGCCGGATGGTTTGCAGAGCTGACGGATTACCACTGAGCTGTATCAGAAG